ATAGTTTTTTGTTCAATATTCCAAGATGAGGTCATAATAAATATTATTGGATGTGTAAGTCTTATGGATCCCAGTATTCCTGTTGGAACTGTAGTTTATAACACTGCTTAGATAACTTGACATCCTGTTTGGAGAGCACTTTAATGTGTTGCTTTCTGTCTGATGCTCCAGGGTGGCAGCACAGATGCCAACAGTTCATTACGAGTTCCCCAATGGCTACAACTGTGACTTTGGAGCTGAGCGTTTGAAAATTCCTGAGGGGTTGTTTGACCCTTCCAATGTAAAGGTAAAACCAGTGTGATAGCTGTGATTGGAAGGCTCTGCATGACTAGGCTATCACATGGCTTTCATTTGTATAACATTTTAAATTTCATTATTTGGATGTATTTGCCCTGTAGGGTTCTCCTGGGTGTAGAATTTGCCTGTCTTGAATTATGGCTGGGGAAGGGAAAGATGAGCTATTCAAATTGGATGGTGATGAGCTGACAGGAAAAATAGAGATATTTTTGTTCCTTCCCTAACAAAATGCTTAGCTCCCTCTCCAGTAATACTTGTAAAATTCAGCTAATTCAGGGCTTTTCTACGCCTTGCTCTCCTGAAGCAGTGATGTGCAGATTCCCAATTTTCCCTGCAGGGTTTATCTGGTAACACGATGTTGGGTGTGAGCCACGTTGTCACCACAAGCGTTGGAATGTGTGATATAGATATCAGGCCGGTAAGTATTACTCAGCCAGGCAGTGTTTTAAGGCACAGAGATTTTTGTGCTAATACATGTTTTTGGGACTAGAACAGCAACAATGATTTCCTAGGATAATGATAAATATGTTAGAATAATTCTGTAAGTATTTTGTATTTGTATATAGGGTTATGTACCATTAGCGTTTCCTCTTACAAAATGTTAAATCAGGACCTTTCACTTAGTGTTTCTACCTCTATTTAAAAATCTGATGTACAGATTTTGTGGCTAGCACTGCATAATGTGGATTGGACTGGCTTCAGATAAGTGTTTATGTTTCTAATTTGGAGTGTTACCTTCAGATTTTTAGGCATTGTTATGTTTAAAACATACATGGAATTTATAAAGAGGAGAAGTTCTAAAGAAAAACATTATTTTTAAAATTAATGTGCTGTTATTCTCAGGTGTCAATTTGATACAGATTGCTTGAGAGTTCTTCCAACAGTTTTTTTTGTTAACCAGTGTGTGAGGAGGGCTTAGTGGGCTGGGCCAGGGTGTGAGTTCACCAACTGCAGCATTAGTGAGATAGAAAACTGCAGCAGGGCTGTGGGGTTTTCTTTTGAGGCTACATTCATCTGTAAAAAAACTCAACAATTTGCATACAGAGGAGATCTGCAGGTTGAGGGTTCTCCATAGTAGAAATTGTTCCCTGAAATCATATAGAATATACGGCTTCTACCTTCCTTTTATAGTTTAATATTAAACTGCCTTGCAGTATTTTTAAGTGATTAAATAATAAATTGAATTGGGAGAGGTAATACTGTTGGCATCAAGTGATGTATTGCTTTTGTTGACTATACATACTTGTGCCACCCCTCTCTATTGTAAGAGTTGTTTTCAGAATGATTTCTGAGGTGAAGCTCCAGGTTTGGTTTTTTTTTTTTTCTCTTTTTAGGGTCTCTATGGCAGTGTGATTGTAGCAGGAGGAAACACTCTAATACAGAGTTTCACAGACAGATTGAACAGGGAGCTGTCTCAGAAAACCCCGCCGGTAAAACAACTTTCCATTACTGCATTGAGTACTTCGTTTTACTTTGCTGCCTCATAAGTACACAAGGATATTGTGGCTTTGACTTTCTTAGGAACCTGACAGCTGAATGGATTTCTGCGGGTTAAGAAACCTCCCTCTCTAAAGAAACAAAATAATTATTGAAGAGTTTTATACAGAATAAACTCCAATATTCCTTGAGTATTTTACTGCTCCACTCTTGCTTTCAGATTGTGATCCTAAGTTCTGTCACTGTCCCCAAGCAACAGCCAGTATTTCTCTTGATGGTCTCTCTTTTGAAGTGTTGCCGACTAACTTGAGGCACATTCAGTCAATCTGCCTGAGGTCACTTTGTTGTGGCAATTGTTTTTTCTTGGTTCTGTAGACAACCTAAATCATAGACCAGGTTTTATCCATGAGTAACATATTTACATAATTTTTAATCACTTGATGTCAAAGAAAGTATTGATACTTTGCATCTGAGAGTAGATATAGATTATGATATTTCTTGAATTTTAGTATCCAAGCAAAACTGTTCTGCTTGGGACAACTCTGTAATTATGAATGTTAGGAGAACTGAGAAATGTATTCACTGCTTATAATAGCTGAGGAGGAGCCCAATTGAAATTCAAAGATTTTATTGCTGTAAGGCATTTTGAAAGCAAAAGGAATGAATGGATCCAAATAAGACTAGATAACTTAGCTCTAGCAATATAAGTCATTTTAGTCCCAGTGCAATGTTGGAGATGACACTATGCAGTGTGATGTTACTGCTCGCCACCTGCCCCATCCTTGCCTTAACCATTGGGAGACAAGGTGAAAACCGTATTTCCTTTTCCACTGTAATTGTAAATGCAGGGCAGATAAGCAGTATTCAAGATGCACTAAAATGGACCTTTTTCAGCTGCATATTGGTATAGACACCGAGTTCCTTGTGCTGCTTGTCTGTAAAGGTCACCAAGTTACATTTATGTGATGTTTGCTTTTGCTCCGTTCTGTGCAGAGCATGCGCCTGAAGTTGATAGCAAACAACACCACCGTGGAGCGGAGGTTCAGCTCGTGGATTGGGGGCTCCATTTTGGCTTCTTTGGTTAGTAAACCTGGGTTACTGTGCTGCTGTGCTGAACAGCACTGCCACCCAGACATCTGATTCCCCAGAAGTGTGCATTGCAGAGTCTGTGCTACGTAGTCATAATTTTGGCTATCCTCATGGTAAGGGGAAGAGAATCTGTTTTAAAAAGAGGTGTGAATGTTTCCAGTCACAGCATATTCTCCCATTTTTAATGGCAAGGTAAAACCTTAAAATGCATGCACTTTCTCTAGACTGTATCTAGTAGACTATGAAAGTATCAGACCTGTTTCTGAATCATATTCCTGAGGTTAATTGTACAAGTTACTGAGCACTGAAATGCTTTTTGGGGGTTAATTTATCACTTGGGAAAGGGAGAGTGGAATCAGCATTGGGTGCTGCACTTCCTGTCTTGACTTTAATCCCTTAGCAATAAAACTGCTAAAAGCAAGAGACAGTTAAGCAGGTCAAGTCGTAAATGTAAGGACTTGCTTGTTTTCCTTCCTAGGAAAAACTAATCATGTTTCAATTAACCATAATTTGTGTTCTTATATTTTTTCATTGTGTGTTGCTTTTGTTTCTTTATTTTTGTAGGGTACTTTCCAGCAGATGTGGATTTCTAAACAAGAATATGAAGAAGGAGGGAAACAGTGTGTAGAAAGAAAATGTCCTTAGGCCTCTTTACTGTGAAAACTGCTGCCTGCTCGGTGCTCCTTCTGTTTTATAGCTTTAGCATACTCAGGAATGGGATGGACTCCTTTTTGTAGGAAGTTTATATTGGGTTTTTTGCATAATTCAAGCTCAATTTTAACAAACCTTAGAAATTTTGAGAGACCTAATTGGTACTATAATAGAAGAAGGATGTTTACCTCCCTTGTAAAGCAATAATTCCTGTAACAAGCATTTTATAATTTTGTATAAAGGTCTATTTTCTCTAGTATCTTTTCCTGGGAACAGCTTTACAGGTTAGCTAATAGATAGAGGCATAACCTTGCAAATGCCTGTGCTTATTTATTAATTATTTCTTGTCTATTTTCACATACTAGTCTTCCTTGCTGGTACTTTGGCCTTAAATTGCTCTTATTTTTCTCTTAAAAAATAAAATTCGGTCTTTTATATTTGAGCAAGCTTGTGAGTACTTACGGAGAAAGTTACTCTGCTGTTTTAAAAGTTGAAAGTTTGTATTCAGCAATCTATTTTAGTGTAAACTTTTGCTGTCTCACAGAAGTGTTACATTCCATGGAGTGAATGTTATATTAAGCACTGGTTTATTAATTTTTTTATTATGGAGCAGTTTCATTTCAATAAGCAAGCAATGCTTTCCACCTGATGTCTAAGAATGTATTTAATGCCTTTGTGATGGTTGGAGACAGGGAAATTAAGACAAAGAATTGCCTCTCCAGGACTGGGAGCAGGGTCAGAAGCTTTCAGTGCGTGGCTTGGCCCTGCTGCAGGGAGCCCGAAGTGCCGTGGCTCCCCCTGTGCCTCCCAGCAGGGTCTGTAAGTGCCTGTGTTTGCAGGGGGAAGGTGCACTCAGGGTCACAGGAATGGGGATGACTTTAGTTCAGCAGGAATTGGCTGTCAAGACACAGCTCAATGTTGCTTTTAAGCTTAATTTACAATGGTGTGATGATCTGTTTTGGGACACAATGAAGTTTTGCTCCTTATCTCAAAAGCTGTGGAAAACCAAATAGCATTTAACTGATCTAAAAAAAAAAATAAACAGTACTGCTACATTTTTGTATCCTAAAAGATCTTGTGGGTAAATAATTATGAGGCCTCTATTTGAAAAGTTTCACATTACCTCCAAATAATAAAGTAATTTATCAAACCAAACTGCTTTTGTTTTATCATGAGAATCTTGAGTTGCTCTTTAGACAAAGTTACTTGATCAGATTTTCAATGCTACTGACAAACCATATTTCTTTTGCAAAATGAGGCAAAGTGAAAAGTCACCAGTTCTTGTCATTGTGGAAGAAAGACTCAGTCCAATTTCCATTCAGGTGGAACGTGGAACATAACTGCTACCTCAGTTGTAGCTGCACTGCAGTGATGCACATCTGTTACACTAAACCAGGTAAATACTACCCCTACACTTGTTACTGTCAACTGGCACTCGGTGGCTGCTCTTCACTGTTGCTATCTCTCACTCTTCTAACAGCTGGCTAACACAACATTTGTTCCTGGAAATGTGAGAGATCAGATGGTTTGAGTTAGGCACCAAAGCTGCTTTTTAATTCCAGATCACAAGTTTAATTAAAATCACATGTGGTATTAAAGACAAAAAAAGATGGGAGACTCTGGAATGCTCAGTGGAGTTGTTTGTGGTTCCAGAACAAGATTCATGTTCCACAGACACTTGACCAGCTGCTTGCAGTGCTCTTCCAGCATGCTACTGGCTCTGGGATTTCACAGCAACATCAGGGAACTTCCTTTCCAAAACCTTCTGCCTCGTCCTCTCCAGGCTTTGCTGCCTTGCCCTTTTCCGTAAGGCTTTTTCAAGTCTGAGTCTGAAACAGAAGTTGGTGTGGTTAATTTCCAGCCACCCTGTGACCACTTTAATGAGCTCCCCCTCAAACAGATAGAGGCACTCAGTGATTAATAACTTCAGTATTCATTTGCTCCTGATAAATAAAAAAGCCTGCAGAGTAACATTTTTACTCTGCTTCTAAATTTTTGATATTCTGTATTTGAAGTTACTTTTACAGTGCCACTGCATAACCATGTACCTTAGTAACTAAGCTGAGAAAAAAAAAAAGAAACAGCAGCCTGTAATTTTAAAAAGCCCAATTTTCAGCCAAAATATTACAGCTATTTTTTCCTTTTAAATTGGAATAAGGATACAAACAGATCAGAAGAAAACTTTCAATGTCAAAATAATCTTTTTACCTGATGAAGTGATTCACGTGAGGTAAGTAATAAAATCTCTTCTTTTTGTGTTTTTTGTTTAAGTGCCATGGTATTGGCCATTCCTTGTAACTGTACCTGTTGGAGACAGATAAAAATGATTACAGAATGTACACGTTGTCTTAATTCTAGGATTTTACCAGTTTCTCTTGGTTTTAAGTACAGTGATAAAGTGGTCTGGGAGAGGGTGGAATTTGTATGTGGATGTTTATTTCCAGCTCCTGCTGGCTTGGTTTGTAACTGTCTCCTGTGTTCTGTACAGTTTGTGCATCCTTCCTTGATTAGACAAGGATTTTCTGGGAGAGAGACACACCCCAAGAAAAACTCACACATTAAAAAAGGTTTTCCATACCAGAAGGTGCGTCCCAAGAAGTCGTTTCTCCACTCGCCGGGGACTGGCTTTTCATGGCCCGTTTGTAAAAGCCTCAAAGCAATTTCTCTTTCTCTGACAACCAAGTCTATATTTTTCATAGATGTTTCTACCTGGAAATGGTAAAAAGTTTCAGGATGCACCAACAAAAAGTAATGCTGAAAAGTCAAAAGATCTCAAAGACTTAAGAAAAAATTTAAAGAGAAAACAAAGGTAAAACATGCTGGAGTTTGATCATGAGTTCTCTCTCAGCAGGCCCTGTGTACTAGAACAATAAGGAATGGGTGCTTCAAAAACCTGATTTGACAGCAGGAGAGATATAAAATAGCTGACAGTCTGATACTTGATTAAAGACAAGCTGGGTAATGCATAAAACCACATCCAATGCTGATGCAGAAGTATAAGAAGCTCTGAGGCAGGGATTAGAGGGAAGCAGAAGATGCAAATATTTTTTGTAGTGGCTGTTGGTTATTTTAGTTTTCATTGGAGTCTGGTCACAGCCCCAGTAATGCCCACTGGACAATGAGAAAGCTGCCTTGACCAAATTATGACTTCAGCAGTTAGTGCATACACTAAAAATCAGGGAAATAATTTAAAAAAAAAAAAGGTCTTTAACAAATTTACAAACATTTGATCTTTCAGCAATTTTATTTAAGAGTTGTAGTTTTTATGTAGCATGAAAAAGTTACCTTTTCTAAGCGTTCTGGACTTGGCATAGGCTTGCGCTGTCGTTTGGATTCTTGCTCTAAAGTTAAGAGCATGTTCTTTTCTTTCAGCAGGACATACCTAGAGCAGAAAGCACAGTAAATCAAAAATGCCTTTGGGATACCTAAGCAGTAATTCACTTCCTATTTGTAATCCCAAATCCTGCTGGTTTCATGTAATGAAACAAAAGAGGAGAATGAGGGAGACAGGTTTACATAGTCTGGAATAAAGAGGGCTTAGGAGAGAAGAGTTTAACACTAAGTTGTCTTCCACTACCTGGACAGAGCCAGATTCTTCTTACATGTACACATGAAAAGGACAAGACAAACCAAGGAAAAAGCTGATCACAGTAATGATTAAGTTCAGCCTGAAGTGGCAATGCAACCTCCAGCTTCAGACACTTCCAAAATCAGAATAAATGCAGGCCTGAGCACCCTGATGGAATGAAGTGCCCTCCCCACAAGAAGGCACTGACAACCAAGTCTGTCCCACTGAAACAACCCCCAGAGGGTTTTACCAAACCTGAGCCCTCTGAACTAGCCAAAAGTGTCCCACAGCCACCTGCACTGCAGCTCTGAGCAGGGCCAGGGCTGCCCCAAGCCCACAGCTGGCTGGAGCCTGCAGAGCTCTGTGCCAGACTCAAATTACTGGATCATAAGTTCACCAGCCACATTTTATTGACAACTGCAGAGCTGCTCTGAAAGAAGAGAAGCTTCTTCACTAAAACTTACTTACCAAAGTTTGTGCAAGTCTTCACTACTCTTGCCCCTTAGCTGCTTTATATTCCATGAATCCCCTGTAAAAGATAGAAAACCACCATTAATTTAAAGAAACAAAGTTCTCTCATGCTGGAAAATAAAAAGTGCTTTTATTAGGCTCAGCTGACACAACAGTACAACAGTATAAAGACCACTTTTAAAATACTACTGCTTGGACAGCCATCCTTGAGGATATTCAGCTTTACTTTTAAAACATAATACAAAAAAGCAATTATATGTAGTGTTTATTTGTGCTTGTAAAAGGCTGAGAATACAGAAAGCTGTCAGATGAATCTTTACACTGAACTAATTTTCTTCCATAGTACTTACATTTCAACAAAGCACATCTCTTCTGTGATACTTCAGAGCAAGGCAGAGGATTTACAGCAAAACATTTTGCTGCACAATTGCTATTTGCTTTCATAAACACAGCAAAAATTAACAGGTATAAGGATGCACATGTGGATGTATGTACATATACATAGAAAAATAAGTTTTATGTATATAGGGAGCATTCATAAATGCTCCCTATAATACAAAAAAAAAAAAAAAAAAAAAGGTCATATTTCAGTTCAAAGATCACTACCAAAAATGCTACATAAAACTCACCAGACTTTACACTTTTCTCCCCCCAGTTTCCTGGATCATCAAAAAATTCCTCCAGACCTCTCCGAGACACAGTTGTGTGCAGGAACTTCACCTGATGGAGGGTCTCAACTTTTGGTAGGTTCTTGTGGTACAGGTTCAGTGCCATGCTGCATAAAAGATAGAAGGAAAACTAAGTATTATAGGAAAAACAGTATTCTGCTAAATGAGAATATTTGTTTCATTCATCATGCTGCCCTTGCACGATGCCGGCAGCCACGCACGGCGCGCAGCCCTCAGGGACACACGGACACCGGGACACACGGACACCCGCCTTCCTCCCGGGAACGCGCCCGCCCTCCGTGCCTCAGCCCGAGTCCCGGGGCGCAGTGCGTACCCGGGGAGTCCCGGCCGAGCCCGGGGCAGGCGGAGCGCGGCCGTGAGGCTCCGGCCCAGCGCGGCCGCGGCCGCCGCCATCGCCCCGCGTCCTCCCACAGCGCCGGGGCACGGGGCGGGACCTGCCCTTTTCCAAGATGGCGCCCGCTCGGCCTCACCCCGCGCTCTGCGACTGTACATGGACCGCAGGGAAGGCTCTGCCCTTTGCAAAGATGGCGCCTGCGCGGCTTCACCTCCATGGCATCCCACGGCGCCGGGGGCACTGGGAAGGCTTTGCCCTTTCCCATGATGGCGGCCGGCGGCTTCACCCCGCGGCGGGAAGCGGCGCCGCCGGCCCCGCCCCGTGCCAGTCCCAGCCATGGCGGCCATGAGCCGGGTGCTGCGGGCGGCCGCGGCCTGGGCGGCGCGGCGGGCGGGCAGCGCCGGGACCAGCGGGATTGCCGGGACCAGCGGGATTACTGGGATCACCGGGATCGCCCCCCGCCTCCCCGGCATCCTCGGTACGGCCCAGAGAGGGAGGGGCGGGGCGGGGGCCAGGTGACCTTGCGGAGCGGGACAGAGATGCCCTCCGCGGCCGGGGCTGAGCCGGTGCCGTGCTGTGACCCCGTTCCTGTGGAAAATACCGGGTGTGGGTACGAAACGAAAGGGAACGGGCAGGGGGCTGCCCCTCCTGGCGTTGGAATTGTCCATTTACTCGGCCCTGTACGGTGACATTCACTGACTCCGTGTTGCTGCTTACAGGTGGGCATAGATCTGTATAGTTAGGAGAAAAATAGGTTCATGCTAACAAAATACGAAATTACTTCAGACGAACTGAAGTAATAAGATAAGCGAGGTGAAATTACTTCACTTATCTACACCACTAACAACAGAGGTGAGATTTAGGAAGCCCAACCTGAGTTTGACCCCTCCAAAATCAGGTTTTGGATAAATCCTATTATAAGCAGCAATAGCTGATTTGATACAACTCCCTTCATATGAACTGCAGAAAACTCAGCTGCTGTTGTATGTACACTCTTTTTTTTTTTTTTTTTTTTTTTTTTTTTCCCCACTTTTTTTTTTTTTTTTCCTGGCATAAGCACCAACAGGGTACAAAACCACAATACTCTGGTTCAATTTGCAGTTCCTGTACGACACGGTGGTGACCATGGGAAGAGAATGTTTATCATCAAGGCAACAAGTTTTTATGATTCTCGATTTCTTAGCTTGTTGGTGAGTTAAAAATCAAATGTATTGCATTCAGTGTAGCACCTCACTTGCAAATGGTGTAAGAGTGCCTAAAATACAATTTCTTCTCTTGTTTATGTGATAGTATCTAAAATGTGGCTGGCACTGTTTACCTAAACAAGAACTTCAGGTCCTCTTTAAGAATTTTGTGGTCATATGCTGTAAAATCAGGGCTAGATGAAATTCAAAGACTGCCTATATAGCAAAGGTTGTGATAGGTACTTAAATTACTGCTGTAGTTGCATTCTTAAATTACACATCTGTGTTCATATATGCATGACCCACAAATGCTTTCTACTCCATCCTCCTTTTTGAAACATATCAGTTACTCTTCTGCAGGGTGTGCCTTCACTTATCTACACCACTAACAACAGAAGTGAGATTTAGGAATTCCAACCTGAGTTTGACCCCTCCAAAATCAGGTTTTGGATAAATCTTATTATGAGCAGCAACAGCTAGTTTGGTACAACTCCCTTCATGTGATCATTTCTGTGCCTTCCTCAGCCACAGAGCCCACAGTGGCTGCACTGGGGTTGGATTCTTGCTTTGCTGATTGCAGCTGAGTGCTGGAGCCAGCCCAGCCCTGCCAAGATGCTGAGGGGTTTCAGGGAGGTGTTGCTCTTTGCTGCTGCCCACACTGACCTCACTGGGAGATGGGAACTGACCTGAACAGGCTCAGGGCTGACACAGCATCACTTCTGTGTGTTCTGGTTCATTAACGAGCTCACTGCAATCAGCAGTGTTTGCACAAAGCATCCCTTTCCAACCTAGAAATGCAAATCTCAGAGTTACTGGCTGTTCCACTATTTTCAGATATTTTCAGATCTCATGTAAGTTTTGTCAGGGCTCTGAGTTTCCCACACTGACTGTTTTTATCCCCTCTGCAGAGATTCTATTTATTCGTGACGGGAATACCAGTGGCTGTGCTCTTAACATATATCAACATCTTTGTTGGTGAGTGCTCTGTCAGGGCTAAGCAAAGTACAGAGTTACTAAATGGGAATTAAGCATGCTGGATACAGAAAAAAATACTCTTTTATGGCTCTGTCTTTGGAAGACCATGGAATAAGCCTAACAAATACAGTGATATTGTATAACTACATTGAAAATATTCCCAGTATATTTGCTTTAGTTGTTGCTTTTTTAAAAAAAAAGTTTCTCACATAAAAATAAAAATACATTCTCTCTTCTGGCAGTCTTTCAAATATCAGTGTAGTTTAGTAACTTGCTTTAACAAGATTGCAACTCTGGCTTTTTATCTAGAAAAGATGCCAAAATTCTTCTTGGGAATACGTGTAATATGTAATTAATTTAATAGAGAAATCAGAAAAAGTCCATGCTTTCAGCTCCTGTCCTTTAAAGGGTATTTCTGTGGACTTGATCCAAGTTGTTTCTTCTGTAAAGCTGCTAATTTTACCCTTTTGGTGTGTCACTTAAAGTCTGTGAATAGATATTTGCAGTGTGATGTGTCTGCAAAAACTGAAAGTTCCATTTTTCTGAAAAGAGCTCACACTGAGGGATTTAGTACTCTCTGTGTGGAACAATGATCTTTTCCTTATCTGAAAGGCAGAATATAAGGTAGCTTTGAAAAATAATCACAGAGTTAAATATTCCTCCCCTCCTTTCCTTGTCAGGTGAAGCAGAACTTGCAGAGATTCCTGAAGGTTATGTTCCAGAGCACTGGGAATACTACAAAGTGAGTGTAACATGTTATGGACAGCCTTTTGGGATGATCCTTTTGGGATGATGCTTTTGGGACTAAAATTAATGGAGTATGACTAACTCAAATAGCACAGTTCTGATTTTTGTAGACTTTTTTTGTGGCTTTATGGAACATGTAAAAGGCTGTAGGAAATCTGTTTATTGACACAAGCAGATGCAAATGCTCTGTATGCAGTAAACTGCTGGAACTGTATGCCAAGAATTTTTCTGTAATATTACTAAATAGTAAGAAAAGTCTCTGCATTCATACCATGGTTTTGTCTTTATTGTTTTTCTTCAATGTCTTAAGAAACTGGAGTTTACAGTGACATTTCTTTCTTTTGTGTTGTTTGCCAGTATTGTTTTAAAGTCCTATATCACACACACTTTTGGATCTAGAATTAAAGATTTTTATAATCACAAACTCAAGGTTGTATGGTTTCAGTTTAATTGTATTTTCTTAAAATTAGTCCCTGGCTTCTTGCTGCAAGTACTGTTTTGTTCCTGATAGGAAGTAATTGAATTCAGCAATATTATTGTGGGTGTTTCAATTAATTTAGACCTTTTTTCCTAGTGAAATGCCCTCTGTGTGGAAGCAGAATTTTGAAATGTTGCTGATTACAGTAAGATTTGGAGTCCACTTCTGTGATTACTGTGGCAGTTTAAGGAACTTTAACAGAAAGAAAATAAATTATATCTTCCGTTAAATTTTAGTTTTGCTACAGAACAGTCATCCGCAGGTTATTTTGGCATTAAGGATTGCAAAAGAAATATGACTTTTTAGGGTTCTGATCTCACAGGTAGTTGTGCACGTTTGTAGCTTTACTGCTATGATTTGAATGGCAGCACCCATGGTGCCCATGACATCTTTTCAGGCCTGTGGATATACAGAGTGACATTTCCACTTGGCACTTGCACAGACAATCTCTGCTGTTATGTTTTCCAGCACCCCATAACCCGCTGGATAGCTCGTTATGTACTTGACCCCCCTGAGAAGAACTATGAGAAGGACATGGCCCTGCTTGATGTGGAAATGAGGAAATCTGAACTGAGGTATGCTCTGTTGGGGGGGTTAAAATCCTGATCCATGCTGTAGCTGACTCTGTGATTTTGCATGACATACTGAGCTGGATAAACTGCTTTCATGTGTCCCCTGAGTGCTGCCTGCACTGGCTGCTGCCAGAGTGGGAGTCACAGAATCTGTTATCTATCTCTGCCCTCTCAGGATTCAGGTTTCCAGAACAATCCAAGGGCTGGGGGTCTTCAAAACACTTTGTACTTATAAAGGTGTAGTTCTGTCTTCCTGAATCAGCAAATGGAGCTCTCTCTGCCCCTGCTAATGCTCACAGCTTAGAGAAGAACCTGTGATAAAACGGCCAGTATTTTTATTACTCCTTTGTGGAATGACTTGCTGAGGAAAAAAAAAAAAAGAAAAAAAAAAGAGAAAGATGCAATAGCTCATGTCTTAGTTGAACCCTTCATATTTTGGTCCTAGCTATGCTTCAGCAATATTTATAAACCATTAATGCTAAAATCATTGCTTTGTCAGTAAATCAAACTTCATGCTGAGGGTATCTGTTGCCTTGTGTTTTAGGCTGCTGGAGTTGGAGGCACGCAGACTGATGAGACACCGGGGAGATGGGCCTTGGTACCATTATGAAACACCTGATAAAAATCTTGTTGACAATTCTATGAAAGCCACACCTGACAATTAAACAATTTTAGGGCAGTGTGCAAAGTCTTGTATGCACACTGACAAATTGTGACTGCGCTGTGGAACAGACATCCTGCTGTTTGCTGATGGAAATGAATAAACAGTGTTTGTGTTGATTCCAGTATCTTGAAAGAAACTATGGCAGTTAAGCTCATACAGCTATTAAAACAGTTAATCAGTGAAAATGCTTCATGTCAATTCCCAACAATCACTCCTTTCCTTCAGAACATAAGTACATGAAACAAGTTGGTAATACTTGTTTCCATGTTGTGATTTCTAGTATCTATAGTTTTAAGTGGAAGAAGCTAAGGGTTCTTTCTTTCTCAGTGGTTTGTGTCAGGTAATTGGTGGGAGATGAAGTAAGAGAAGTACCTTCACACGTACCTGCCACGCATTTTCAGAACTGTACAGCTGTTCTTTTACACCACTTTTGGCAACTCTTTAGGGAATATGAAGAGTTCTCTC